CAGAGCTAAATGTAAAACCTCAAACCATAAGAACCTTAGAAAATGAAGGACATACCCTCATGGAAATCGGAACTGGCATCCAATTCCTGAACAAAACCCAAAACCCACAGGTCATAAGAGAGAAGATAGACAAGTGGGACCTTATTAAACTGACAAGCTTCTGCAAAGCCAAAGAAACCATAAAGAGAGCAAGGAGACAGCCTACAGACTGGGAAAAAGTATTTGCTAACACAGGTCTGACAAAGGCTTAACATCTTGGATCTACAAGGAACTCAAACGTGTTGAAAAGAAAAACCCAAACAACTCCATTATAAAATGGGCAAAAGATATGAATAGACACTTCACAAAGGAAGACATCTGAGCAGCCAACAGACACATGAAGAAGTGTTCACCCTCACTAATCATCAGGGAGATGCAAATCAAAACCACACTGAGATACCACCTAACTCCAGTCAGAATGGCAATTATCAACAACTCAAAAAATAACAGCTGCTGGAGAGGGTGTGGCGAAAAGGGAACACTTCTATGCTGTTGGTGGGAGTGTAAACTAGTGCAACCTCTATGGAAAGCACTGTGGCGATTCCTGAAAGCTCTAAATATCAACCTCCCATATGACCCCGCAATCCCCCTATTGGGAATATATCCCGAATAACTCAAATCACTCTATAAAAAAAATGCCTGCACACGCATGTTTATTGCAGCATTGTTCACAATAGCAAGAACCTGGAAGCAACCATGCTGCCCATCAAAAGAGGACTGGATCAAAAAATGTGGTACATATACACAAAGGAATACTACGCAGCCATAAAAAAGAACAAAATCATGAATTTCGCAGCAACCTTGATGGAACTAGAGTCTATAATGCTGAGTGACCTCTCACAGAAACAAAGATCCGAGTATCACATGTTCTCACTCATATAGTGGACCTTGAAAATCCAATGTAATACTATAAGAAAATGACTGACAGTAGTGGGAAACTATGGGCGGGGAGGGGAAGGGAGATGGGATTAACAGTAGTAAATATCTGTCTGGGGACGGGGAGACACCTCTTATCAACAAGGGTGCCTGAACGAAACGTATTTGTATACGTAACTCTTAACTGTACCCTACAATATCATAATAAAAAATATTGATTATAAAAAAAGTTTAACTTTTTATCATAGATTTGTGTATATTTTATGGTAATAAATTATAAAATAGACTAGTATCTACATATATTTTATGTAATAATTTTTTTCTATTTCTAGGCTATGTGGTTTGTCTATTTTTTCAAATTGTCACAAATGTCCCCCAAATTTTCCAATATACTTATTGAAAAAAAATCCATGTATAAGTGGACCCATGCAGCTCAAACTCATGTTGCTCAAGGGTCAACTGTACTAATAAAGATGTCTTGTAGGCTACTGACCACTGCCTACTGAAAAAAAAAATAGTTTTGAGTTACTCACCTGATAATACAAAACAGATTTACATTAGCGTTGTATAGGGAAAAATCAATAAATATAACTCTGGTCCCTCTTGTGATCCAGCTGTTCAGTCGAAGGTCAATGAATTTGGTTTTGGTTTCAGATTTTGATTTTGATAAAGTGAAAATATATCCCCCACTTCGGTAAACACCAACAAGTCCCCGGTGCCAAGGTGAGCTGGTATTAGAAGTAGAATACTTCCATCTGTTAGACATAAAAAGAATAGTGGTGAAATAAAAAAACCCAACTAAGAAGTATTCTAAAAATTCACACCCACCTTTTGTTCAAAAGTAGTAGCTAAAAAAAGGAAGGTAGTAATAAATTCGTAAGTATGATAGTAATTTTGAAGTAAGACAAAGAGTTAAGAGTTAAGTTAAAAGAATTAATACTTAATATATTTCTACTTTTTTTTTTTTTCAGTTGGAATCTCACTCTGTTGCCCAGGCTAGAGTGCAGTAGCATGATCACAGTTCACTGCAGACTTGACCTCCTGGACTCAGGTGAGTCCTTCACCTCAGCCTGCTGAGTAGCTGGGACTATAAGCACGCACCACGACACCTGGCTAATTTTTTTTTTGTAGCGACAAGGTCTTGCTGTGTTGCCCGGGCTGGTCTTGAACTCCCGGCCTCAAGCGATCTTCCCATCTTAGCTTCCCAAAGTACTGGGATTATAGGTGTGAGCCACCACACCTGTCCTTCTACTTTTTAAATGCTTATTGTGGGCAACACACTGGACTGGATGCTTTGAGAAATTTTTTCAAAAATCCATCTGTTGGGCATGGTGGTGCATGCCTGTAATCCCAGCTACTTGGGAGGCTGAGGCAGGAGGATTGCTTGAGACCAGAAGTTCAAGGCTGCAGTGTACTATGATGGTGTCTGTGAATAGCCACTGCACTCAAACCTAGACAACAGAGTAAGATCCATCTGTTGTCTTAGGGAACTTACAATCTAGAAAAAGATAACTAATTTTTTTTTCTTGAACATGTTGTTTCTGTTGTTTTATGAGATGTTTAGTTTTTGAGTAGGACAAGAATATCAAGCGTTTTGATTCAGAAATTTTAATATGGCAAAAATAGATGCTGCATAGAGCCTGTCTTGTAAATGTCATATATTGTTTATAAATACCCAATAAATAAAAACTTTGCTATACTGTCTATATTGTTACATAGCTAGCCTATTTTAATGAAAGTACATAAATCAAAGCAAAATGTGGGCTCAGCCTGTAATCCCAGCACTTTGGGAGGCCAAGGCGAGTGGATTGCCTGAACCTGTGCATTTGAGACCAGCCCGGGCAACTTGATGAGACCTTGCAACTGCAATTAAAAAAAAAAAAAATTAGCTAGGCACAGTAGCGCGCACCTGTAGTTCCGGCTACTTGGAAGGCTGAAGCAGAAGGATCGCCAGAGCCCAGCAGGGGTGACGCTGGGGTGGCTGTGAGTGTGCCACTGCACTCCAGCCTGGGTGACGGAGTGAGACTCCAACTCAAAAAAAAAAAAAAAGAAAAAAAAGTAAAATGTGTATAACTAAATTTTGTTTCCATTCGTTTAACTTTTAACTTAATTATGGGATATCAAAAAACAAAAGCCTTGATTCCTCATTTTAGTCTCCCCAAAACATATTTGAAATGTTATCCAAAGAGGCATTCCAAACTTGTTTTTCTATTAATAATACTATGTTTTCAGCAGGGGGAAAATGTGACACCACTAGGAAAAAGTATGTATACTTTAATTAAACTTTCATAGGTATAGTTTTGAGTGTTTTCCACATGATTGTTAAAATGAAATAGGAAGATTTGTTATACCAACCCTCACCTAGCTTCCAACTTGTATAGATGTTTTTAAGTAATGACTTTTATATTTTAGATAGACAAACAAGCACAAACTGATTATTTTGGTTGTTGAAGAATAACAGATATTAACTCACAGTTTCGATTAAGTATAGATACAGTAAAATAAAATTTAATCCAGTGTTAATTTTGGTATTTAAAGTATTATAGTTATAAGAATTTGGACTATTGGAATACCTAAAGGATTAGTCTTGAGATTTCAATTCATAATGTATAATTAAATAATTGCTTTATGTAATAATTTTTGATTGAAAGAAAATGAATAGTACTGTAATATTTAAGAGAATGTGTCATCACACTTATGAACTTATTTATAAGATTTATACAAGTCCTCAAGAACACCCACAACTCATACAAAGAAGAAACAAGTCAACAAAATCCACAAAGCAGTTATTAATCCTGGGGGTTCAGGAGAGGTTGTTCAAGAAAAGATATATAATCATCATTCATATGTATAAAATAAACATTGATTAATGATGAGTAATAATTATGATGAAACTACTGAGAGGCTAAGAGGAACAGGGAGTGTCTAGAGAGCTACATGACAGATTAACTTCCATGATAGAAACACAACATGTATACAACTATAAAATCAAGTATGAGATAGCAGTGTGATGATGTTATTTAGAAGGAGGAAGTATATACCAGAAGAAACGATGGAAAGAGCTAAAAGTAGCTGCTTCTGGAGAGTGGAAGATATGAGTAGGAAAGGGTAGAACTTTGTAAATATTTCTATCATTGGGTACATATTAAATTACAAAAAAGGGTTACTCTCTCCTCCCTACAATTTTCATATGACTCTAAAAGTACAAAGTGTAAATATCACTGATACCAGCAGCTTCTGTGCCAAGGAGAGGTGGTGCCAGTGGCTTTGGGCTTTCACATTCTCAATATGAGCATAAAGTGTAAACATGAGTCTACACCAGCACTAGCTTCAATTACTTTGGAGGGCGATGGCCACAGTGTCAAGCACCATCAGATGCACTGCCTGTAGAGCTCAATTCTGCCTTTTTAGTATTGGAGACAACAGAAGAGATCACTGAAGCAAGACAGAGAGAAGGAGGAGGAAAGTGGGAGAGTACATCCAAGACGTACCCTAAGGATCCTCAAATGATTTGGGGATGTATTGGAGGGGGTATGACCAGAGCCAGAAAAGCTGATTAGTCGACTATTATAGAAGCAAAAATGGATGCTTTGCCATGTGTCCAATATGACTAAACATTTTTTTATACCACAACAACAAAAAAACCCACTTCACATCCTGGGGTGAACAAACCAAAAATAACAGGTTCACTCTTCCTTTTTTAAACATTCTATTTCCAAATCTTCCTTTGATACTATTGTTGAAATAGCCTCCTTCCTTCCAGCCCCCAGCTGGTATTACTTGAAAAATACACCGTTTTTTAACAATTTCTAAAAGATATAATGGTAAACTATTAGGAAAAAAAATACTGTATAATTTTATACTACTCACTATCACTTTAATTTTATATTACTTACTCAGTATCACTTTTAAGGCCAAAGTCAGACAGGTCTTCATTTGCAGAAGTATATTTGCCATAACATTCATTTATCAAAGACTGAAAGGATGAATAGACCTTGCACGTGCTGTTGCGGACTTTTAGCTGACGGACTCTGGGGAGTCCTAGAAGTATGTTCTCATAGTAGATGCGACTGCTGTTTTTTAAATTATATAGTTGCTGGTTATTGTACCATGAGTCCCAGTACAGACCTTCCAAAAGGGGTCCTTCCATAAACTTTATATAGAAAGATAAACATCATGGAAAAAATATTTTCATGTCAACAGAATCTACATTCATAACATCATTATGCATATGAGATTTTGAGTATGAAAATTTAATTGTTGACCAAGCTACCATTAATATTAATGGTAATGATACTGATACTGCTGGTTAACACTTGTAAAGCACCTACTATGTACTAGGCACTGCTCCAAGCACTTTACAAGCATTAACCTTTTTTTTTTTTGAGTCGGGGTCTTACTCTATCACCCAGACTAGAGTGCAGTAGCAGGATCATGGCTCACTAAAGCCTTAAAATCCTGGACTCTTCAGTTTCCTGACTAGCTGGGACTACAGGACTGTGCCACCACATCCAGCTAACTTTTTTGATTTTTTGTAGACATGAGGTCTATGTTGCCCAGGCTGGTCTCGAACTCCTGGGCTCAAGCTATTCACTGGCGTCAGTCCCCCCAAAGTGCTGGAATTACAGGCGTGAGCCACTATTCCTGGCCCAGCATTAACTCATTTAATCCAATAATTCTTCTTTTCCCCTTCTTATATGAGTAAATTGAAAATTGTCCTCCAATATGAATATCAAAACTGGTCATAGCCACACATCACGACTTCAAAGTTACCTGTACCCCATTCTAGCTCTGGCTATGTGACTAATACTTCTGGCTCTGCCCTTATCAACTCATTCTAGGACAGCCTAAGCCCAGAGGTCATTTTTTCTTTCCCCCCTTTGTCTTCTTCGCCACTGGCCACGTACAAGCCTCAGACAGCACAATAACCAAGAGGAAGGTGGGTGCCATTTCTATTATTCTTCCATATTTCACTTGACCTAAACCAATGAGGTATCACAATTTAACCTTCATCTCACACTTGCCCTCTCACTTTTCAGGAAATGACCCTGTCTCCCTGATCATTTCAAATCCCCAGGATGGCATTCATGATGCAACTTCTGCCTAGTTTATAATTTGGCTTTTCCCACCTTGTCTTCTAAATGCCCACGATGGCAAACGTAGTTCCATATACAGACTTACAGCACATATTGTTCCTTCTTCCTCAAATCCCCTTCCCTGATTTACCCTTCAAAACTCAAAACTGTCATACTTAGCCTAATCTAAGCTTCCCTAATTGCCATGTCCTTATATTCCCCTTATGCTTGTGACCTGGGATGACTGAAACTGCTGTTTTCTTAACTGTTCTTTCTTCGCAATGTGAGCATCTGGTTATGTTAAATGTAATGGAAATAAATCAAGTCTATTCCAGTGCTGAAGGAATGACTCCCTTATGTAATGAAAAACACTATGAATTATATTCTGTATGGGTACTCTTTATTACATACTGTATATTACTGTCACACATATATACAGTAGAGGGCTGTATGCCAAGACCACACATATTACACTTTGAGCAATTAAATAATTTTAAGAGTAATTTTCACTATACATAATTAGACTGACTTCAGCTCGTAACCCTCATACAAGAAGAGTCTCCTATTTTCCAAATGAAATGAGAATGTTAAAAAAATAAATTTTTTAAAGTTACAGGAATAGTATCACACTGAGAACATAGGTTCTCAATAAATATCTACTGGCTGGTTGCTTCTCATAGTTTAAAGAAATATTCATTTTTATTTATTCCTTCAACAGATATTCATATAGTGCCTACTATGTGCTCCAAGGGTTTATAGAATACCTAAAGCTATTTCATCCACAGTCACATGATACCTTACCTTCCAAAAATCAGTTATGTGGTGAATAGATTTAAAGTTGATTCTTTCTTCACCAGGCACAGAAGTGTCCAAAAATAGAGATGCCATAACCTTGTTTAAGTAATACATGTGTGGATCTACCATCCCAAAAGTCACTAAGGAGAAGAATTTTTTGTTTAAAATTTTGTTTAAAAATCCAGTTTATCAGAATTAAAAATGTTACAATTTGTTCCCATTTTTGTTTTGAAAATTCAACTTTATTTAGTCTACTTATAAAAGTAATATTTAAAAAATCTAAACTAGAAATATAAAAAGCAGGAAGAAGTTTCCTGTAATCCTACCACTAGAGTTAGTTTAGCATTTATTCTTCAGATTTTTCTTTATGCATACATGTTTATAAAGAAAATAATTTTACCTTTACAAAAATGAAGTCACATTATACACACTGTTCTTTAAGTTGGCTTTTTTTCCCACATTGAGAGTATAGTAACATGAGTGGTTACGGTTATATGGACTTGGAATTCAGACAGATAAGGGTATTATGTGTCTCATCGCAGGGATGGTTATCTCCTACCTCCTAATTTTGTTGTGTGAATTGAAATAATACACGTAGAAGAACATTTTAAACTGTGTCTTGGTCCACGATAAGAGGTTGTTTTTTTTTTTTGGAGTTGGAGTTGCACTCCGTTGCCGAGGCTGGAGTGCAGCGGCACACTAACAGCCACCCCAGTAGTGACCTGCTGGGCTCCGGCAATCCTTCCACCTCAGCCTTTCAAGTAGCCAGAACTACAGGCGTATACTATGATGCCTGGCTAATTTTTTTATTTATTGTAGAGATGAGGTCTTGCCAAGTTGCCCAGGCTGGTCTCGAATCCGCGGGCTCAGGCAATCCACTCGCCTCAGCCTCCCAAAGTGCTGGGATTACAGGGTGAGCTACTGAGCCTGGCCCATGATAAGAGTTTTTAAAAATACTAATATTCTGCTAGGTGCAGTGACTCACACCTATTATCCCAGCACTTTGGGAGATGGAGACTAGAGGGTTGCTCAAACCCAAGAGTTTGAGACAAAATTAAAAAAAAAAAAAAGAGCTAGGCATGGTAGCACAAGTAGTCCCAGCTACCCTTTGGGAGGCTGATACAGGAGGATCACTTGAGCCCAGAAGATGGAGGCTGTGATGAGCCATGATTATGCCACTGCACTCTAGCCTGGGCAAGAGTGAAATTCTGACTCAAAAACAAAAACAAAACTGATATTCTGGCTGGACATGGTGGATCATGCCTGTGTTCCCAGCAGTTTGGGAAGCCAAGGCAGGAGGACTGCTTGAGCCTAGGAGTTTGAGAGCAGCCTAGGCAATATAAGGAGACCTCATCTCTACAAAAAATTAGCTGGGCACAATGGTGTGCACTTGTAGTCCCAGCTACTCAGGAGGCTGAGGTGGAAGGATCATTGAAAGGCTGGAACTGAAAGGCAGGAACCACAACAATCTTAGAATAGAAAAACTTGGTAAAATAATTCTAGCAGTGCTGTAGCCACTTTTTCTCAGCCCTAGCCCTGTCACGTATTGCTGAGGCTTTCTGCAGACCAGCCTATTCTTTTACCTCTTAATCATTAGCAAGAAGTAAAACTGGCCTCCCAGGGTTAGGACTTGGTAATTATTTGTAGCCCCTTAAGCATGTCTAGTCCTGATTGCTCTTCTAGGCATCCATGTTTCCAGCAATGGTGTATTGTTATCAGTCTTCTGTAACCAGTCTCCTGCCTAACACCTGAAATCACGAAATAACAGTGCCTGGGAATGTCTAGAAATGAGACTTATGTGACTTCTGTTAGCTACATCAAAGAATACAACCTCCAGACTTACTTCTTAGCCCTAAAAAGAGCCTTAAATATTCCCACCCAGCCTCTCAGCCTTCAACGTCACATTCCCCTATTGAGTACTGGTCCCTTTCTGTCTATGGAAAGTGGATAATAAACTTTGCTTCTTTCTCCTTTGAAATTCTTCGCGTTATTCCCACGGCACCGGCCCACCTTGCCTCAGTTTACCCTTTCAATCACATGGGCCCAGGAAGACAAGGCTGTAGTGAGCCGTGATAGTGCCTCTGCATTTCAGCCTGGGCGACACGGTGAGACCTCGAATAAAAAAAAAAACCAAAACAAAAAAACCTAACTAATATTCTTTCTCATTTTCTCACTTTCCTTGGGGTGGGGGTTAAAGAGGGATTGTAGATGAAATATTTATAAAGTTGGCTACGGTTGTCTTTTTAATCAAGATCTGACTCAAACTCACCTCATATAAATTAATTAGTTAATTGCTATATCATTGCCAGCGTGCAGCACATACCAACGTGAGATAAAACTTGCCAGTAAGCTTTTATCTACTGTATGTTGGGCACTGTAAAGATAAGATGCTCTTTAATACTGCCCTTCACAGTTAAGTCAATGCTATTAACCCACAGGTAGGAGGAATGCAGGATGACATGTCTTTCCAGTCCTCCTTAAAGATTTGACTCAGCGCAGACATATTTTACTATTAACTGCAACAGGTCAGTGGAAAGAACAAAGCTAATGACAGGCATTAAGACGAGCTTCTCTATCTTTGGTCTCATTTGTCCTTCGATTTATGAAATTGAGTTGCTTGGCCTCCAGGGTTCTACAAGAAATCAAGTTGCAACTGCCAACCCAGTATTAACTATGTTCAAGATAAAAGTGCCAAAAGGAAGGAATAACTGTATTCAATCAATGTTGACAATGGAAGCTTGCCACTGTATTTAAAACTTTGCCACTTAAGAACTGGAAATAGTGTCAATCTAAATGAACTTAAGATCATGCCTAAAATGTGTCCCTAAGCCTTGTTTTAGAAGTCTGCCTATGGTTTTAAAGTCTGTATGCTTTGTAGTTCACCTCCACATTTTAGCTTCTTAGTTCAAAAGACCAGAATTATAATCTCCATCTGTGTACTTACATATGCATAGGTTTATTAAAAAAATAAAGTAGAGTAACAGCTCCTGAAGTGTGGTTCTAATTTCTACTTCCTTCCTGTAATGCAGCCTAGGTTTTGAAGTCCCTGTGAGATATAAGACAATTTTTTCTGTACATTATTTTGTAACTTATAGTGTCTATTAGGGAACTGTGATGGAAAACCAACCACTTTTAGTTGTTACATTGGGTGAAGAAAAGCTCCAGTGGCTTCGGGCTATTTCTTTCTTTTTCCTCCCAGATATTTGGAAGGCTGAGGTGGAAGGATCACCTGAACCCACGGGCTATTTCTTAATTATCACTTTTAGGGATAATTGTTGGGCTTTCCCATAGGGTGAGTGGGTAGTCATTTTATAACGACATACAAATACATTTTCCTTTTTTTTTTTTCCAGATTCCTTTTTTTTTTTTTTGAGTTGGAGTCTCACTCTGTCGCCCAGACTGGAGTGCAGTGGTGGCTCCGGCCACCGCACCCTCGACCTGCTGGGCTCCGGCGATCCTTCGCCTCAGCCTTCCGAGTAGCTGGAACTACAGGCGCGCGCTACCACGCCCGGCTAGTTTTTGATTTATTGTAGAGATGCGGTCTCGCCAAGTTGCCCAGGCGGGTCTCGAACCCGCGGGCTCAGGCAATCCACTCACCTCGGCCTCCCAAGGCGCGGGATTACAGGCTGAGCCACCGAGCCCGGCTACAAATACATTTTCTAACACGTACGTTTTCTCACCAGTCGTTTTAAAAATGAAAAACCAAATACAAAACAAAACTCATCTGTCCCTAATCCTACCTTCCCCCCCCCGCCACCCAACGTTGCTTCTTGGGAAGACTGGCATCTGCTGGAGGAAAAAAACGCGCTCGGACTGGAGTTCTATCAAGGCCACGACTCTCCACATCCCCGAAGGGCTTTAGAGACTGGCCTCGCGAAGGTCACTAAACAGCAGGTGACAACGCCCCGATGGAGCCCCGGGCCAGGGGCGAGCGCCCCGTCTCTCTCAGGTCTTCCGTTTTCCGGTCTGTGGAGTGGCACCACCTCCCCTTCTCCAGGGAAGGTTGTGAGGACCAAAAGTGCTGGCAGTCATCTCTCTCACATGAATGGAGGTTTTTGGGGCTGCAAAGTTCCTTCTGGGGTGTCCTGAATTCGCCAGAGGGTCCCTGTCCCACCCGCTCCTCAGGAGCCACCCTCACCGCCTCGGTGCCACCAGGAGGCCTCAGGCATGGCGGACACAGCCTCCACCGCCCGTTCGTCCTCCCCTGGCCTGCGGCGCCTGCGCGTTGGTCTCACGGCACGCGCTGCCTCGCTTGTGCGCCTGCGCGGGCCCTCCAGCTCCTCCAGGGGCGCAAGCTACTCGCCGGGTTGCCAGAGCGCCTGCGCAACAGGAGCCTCGGGTCGCCCTTGGTCCCGGGCGGCGTATTGCTTCCCGCAGAGGCCCTGTGGGCTTAAACATGTCGTAGTGATTAATTCTAACGGGCTTCTCTTTCTTGAATACCTTTAGCATCTAATACCTTGTTTAGTCTCCACACCTACCTCCGTGAAAGGTAGGTATTTTGCGGAGAAATGAACTATTTTACCGAAAGTTGGGGCAAAGTCTGGATGCCAGAGCCTGAATGCCTAACCGCGACCTCACACGGCCGCTGCCACTTGCAGAAATTGGTTGGTATTAACTGAGAGTTCTTGCCAGAAGTAGCTTACACTCCTTTCTCGCCCTAAAGTTAAAATACACTTAAGAAAAAAAAAGTCTGCAGTAGTGCTCGGGAGCCCAGACCCACGTCTGGCCCAGAAACTTTGCAAAGCTGAGAAGAAGGTTTGTAAACCAGCTATAGAAAAGGTCAAACGAATTTGGCTGTAAATTAAGGCAGCCAAGAGCACGCCAGGATATAAGACAGGAGGGATTCTCATGTGGATACAAAGGAAAATAAAATGGAATTCAGTCCAAAGGCTCCAGAGCAGCCCCCAAAGAAAATCACGAAGCTGTTTTGAAGGCACAAGATAAAGCCACTTTTGTCGTTTCCCTGAAAGAGATGTACAATAGAGTGATGTTGATAAAGGCTGTTTCATGTGCAGATAAAAAGCGAAACTAGGTCACACGGTAGTGAGGGTCAAAACTACTATTGATAAAAGGAACTGGAGAGGCCTAGCAAAAGGCCGATGGCCAGCGAAACGGAGACCTGAGCTGCAAGGGGACCACTGTCCTAGCTTTAGAATACTTTAATAAAAGGACTTGGGCTTTCCTGTACTGTGACTCTCAGATGTGACAAGTTATAAGTAACATGCTATTTGAACTTTAAATTGTTGGAGGAAAAACACCTGTATAAAAGTATTCAAATTTACATTATTATTATTTTTAGAGACAGGGGCTGGGGTGGGAAGGTTGTCTTACTCTGTTGGCCAGGTTGGCCTAGAACTCCTGGTCTCAAGGGATCTCGACCCATCTCAGCTACTCACCAGTATCTGAGGAATCCCATTGGGCATGGGCTACCATGTGACTCTCAAATTTACATTAAATATAAGAATTAAGCAGGTGACCTCTAGAGACTTCTTATTCCTTTGAGCACAATAGACTCAATGATCCTGAAGAATTAGAGACCTATTTGGACAATTCAGGAGAGATTCAGTCATGATTTAAGTTACTGTGGTTGAAGTACAAACCATGGAAAGTCTAGTTCAGTTTCTGGAGGAATTCACTCTGAATGAGCTTCACACTGTTCTAGAATATAATATTATTGCCCTTTTGGAACTTGTTATTTGTAGGTTTTGCTGAGTGTTGTTTAATGTATAACAACCAGAAGCTTTATTTTAAAGATCTAGACTTTTGTGAAGAGGAGACAGTCTGTTTTAGATATTTGAATTTTATTCTCTTTTGACATGGAACACTCAGATAATCTATACCATGTTAGTTTTCCTACAGAAGAAAACACGTAAAACAGTATGTAGAAAGCAGTACCATTAAATCTTATTACAAGCATTAGATGTGTTTTAAAAGTTGATATTCATTCATAACTTATAATTGTTAAATATGTATGACAAATGTTAAAACCCCATATTTTAAGATAGTTTTCTACAGTTACAAGTCCATTTACTCAGATTTTCTGTAGGTTTCACAAATCAGAGGAATAGACAGAATGTGCAAGATCAAAAGATAAATAATAATATAAATATATATTAACTATATTGCCTAATTAAAGCCATAATCTGTTAATACAGCTATGGATTAATTTCAAGAATACAATCGAATATATTACTAAAAGTGTAGCTGTGTGTTTCTAATGTTGGTAAAGTTATTAAAGTTCTTCACTTTCATAGAGTCCAGATTGAGCTGCCAAACGCTGAAACTCTCCTTCTGGGTTAAAAGCTTGTTTCACATCCAAACCTTTCCCATTAAGTGCTAAATATTTGCTGAAGGTTGGTCGAACACGTAACTGCTTAGGAGCTGGAAGAGTTTGGTTTGGACGGGCTGAAATAGATGAAATAAAAGTTGATTCAGAAAACCTGTTCTAACCCAAATTGGTTGCTCTAGTATTTATCAGGCAGGGAAAGGAAAAAAATCCAAACTAATGATGTGTGGGGAAAATTCCCTAAATTTTATATTCTGCTGGGATTTGCATTTCCTTTTAAATCTACCTGGTTAAATCCTTCATAACACTTGGGTTGATAGTATGACATACCTGTCACATCTAATCTTGTGTTACATGTGGTCACTCCAGCTTCATTAACTGCAGACACAGTATACCACCCAGCATCTTTCTTGTTTACATCTTTTATCAGTAAAGTAACTCTCCCAGTGTTATCATGATATAAGCTAAAAAAAAATTGAAAAAGTGAAACACAGAAATTAGTTTTTCAATGAAAGTTTATTTAAGTGATCGCTCTGACCCTCAGAGTCAGACTAATAAGAAACAGTTGGAAATTCTGAGACTGTATCTATGAATTGCCAAATAGCTATTAGTTTTCTTTTCTATCTTTGTGTGTGTGTGAGACAGGGTCTTACTCTGTCAACCAGGCTGGAGTGCAGTGGCACAATTGTGGCTATACAGTCTTAACCTCCTGGACTCAGGCAATCCTTCTGCTTCAGCCTTCCAAGTGGTTGGGTCTATAGGCACATACCACCATGCCCAGCTACTTTTTGAAATTATTGTAGAAATGAGGTCTCACCAAGTTTCCCAGGTAGGTCTCGAACCCCTGGACTCAGGCTATACTTCACCTCTGCCTCCCAAAGTGCTGGAATTATAGGTGTGAGCCCCTGTGCCCAGCTAGCTGTTGGTTTTCTCTAATTAAACATCCTTAACCTTGTTTACATTATCTATTTCCTTGAGCCATCTTTCATCATTGTTGATAAAAAGGTAAATGTTAGCCTAATTTATTCCTGAAAGCTTTGATTAGTGGAATCTGGTTTAATGAAGTTTTATATTTTTATTTGTGTTTTAAAAACTAGTCAAATTGAGATCATCATTGCATGCAATTTATAATGTATGTTGAAGTAAAACTGGATTCACCCAAATAAATTATAGTGAGTCTAGAAGAAATATATATCCTACCTTATTCGGTCAGTGTTGAATTGTACCATTTCATTATTTCTTTTCCAGAAAAGCTTTGGTGGAGGTATAGCTGAGATCTGGCATTCTAGTTTCACTGATTCTCCTTCAAAAACTTTTTTGCTCTGTGGTTTGTAGATAAACATTGGTGCTCTTTTATGTTCTTTTGCTACATATCAATAAAAAATTTGATTATTTGAAATATTATAAAAATACATGAAATCAAACAAGTATTATGAAATTTATATGTTGATATTAAAGTGTTAAAAAGCAACAACAAAATTTGCAAACTTTTAGTTAAAAGAATATACTATTTTATTTATTTCTTTTTCTTCAGTGGCCAGTTATTGGAACAGTAATATTTTGTTATGCCATTCAGAGTTCTAAAACTGTAATGTAATTATTCACTGAATTGATAATCATATTTCATTTAAATAATTTAAGTCATATTCTTATTTATCATCTCACCTATAGGGAGGCAGCATGAATGGTGGAAAGTATCAGATAGCTTGGGTTCAAATTCTTTATTGGCTCCATGAAACATGTCAAATTGGAAAAATTTTGTTTAGTTTCTCTGAGCCTCAGTTTTATCATTTTTTAAAAAATTCAGGTAATTGTGACTGTTGTGCCTACCACACAAATTAATTGTGAGGAACAATTGAGATAATGAAGAGATACTTTGTAAACTAATATACAAATATCAGTAATTGTAATGATTTTACTTTTTGTCAACTACCTTAGGAAAATGAGGAAATGCTAGTATAATATTATAACCCTGGCTTTTCTGAAGGAGAAATGAGCCCGGACCAATGCCAGCCAAGATCTCTTTCAGTTCTAATATTATAGTATTCCTGAAGCCATTGACACAAATAGGATTTGTCCAAAGCTTAATTGCTTGAATTGTGTGGGTTTTAAAAAAATTCCAGCTCCCTAGTTTTCCGTTTAGGTTGGACCCTTCAGTATATCCTAGGATAATCGTAAAGATCTTATTGATTTGAGTAGACTATAAAAGACTTTTGTATAATAAACTTTTACATAATAAATAGTGAATTAGAGCAAAATGTCTTATGCAATACACTGTGGCTTAAACTGTTAAAAATGTGGTACAGGATGAGTGTCCCTTATCTGAAATTCTTAGAATCAGAAGTGTTTTGGATTTCTGATTTCTATGGATTTTAGAATATTTGCCTAATACTGGCTGAGCATCGTTAGTGTGAAAATTTGAAATGCTCCAATGAACATTTCCTTTGAGTGTCATATTGATTTTGGAGGATCTTGGATTTCAGATTTTTTAGATTAGGGGTATTCAAACTGTTTATTTAAAGCACTTACATTATAAAATTTTAAAACCAGACACCAGTGTTATAAGAACTGCCCTACTTGAGTGGAGACCACCAAACCCTCCAAACAGAGTAACAAGTATGTGGCTAATAACTACCTGACCCTGACACCCGACCAGTGGAAATCTCACAACAGCATCAGCTACTGGTTCACGCATGAAGGGAACACCCTAGAGAAGACAGTGGCCCCTGCACAGTGTTCTTAGGCCCCAGACCTCTCTCCCTCAGCCCCCACGAGTCTAGATCTTGGGATCCCAGGAAAAGGATCTCCCCCCACGCGAAGTCATCCAGCCTTCTCCCTGTACCCATTAAACCCTCAATAAATATCCTCACTGACAATCAGAAGAAAAAAAAAGAACGTCCCTACTTATGACAGATGAGACATGAGACATACCTGTTTTCTAAAGCAATAGGCATGTTTTTTTGGTTAAAATTAGAGACTAGTTTCCTAGTAAAGAGGACATAGTCTAAGGCTAAAAATTGATATTTACTCTTCAGTTTTAAACTATGCATTTAAAATTATGATGGATAATGCATTTAAAATGATGATTCTGTAAAAGCGTGAGTCAGATTTGTTGTTTTAGACCAGAGAAATGATTAGACTAAATTTTTCACTTTGAGACCCTATAATTACATCTAGAAATGCTTATACCACTTTGGTCTGTCTAAAATTGCATGATTTTTAAAAATTTCCTTTCCAGAAGAACTTTGGTGGTAGATTTGTCATTCTAGTTTTACTTGCTTCCCTAAGTTATGTAGACATTAATCTTAAACCTCTCCTGGGGTTTTTCTTTTTAAATACTTTTTTAAAAAAAATACTCTTTCAATACTTCTGGATTTTTTTTTTTTTTTTTTTGAGTCAAATTCTCCCTCTGTCGCTGAGGCTGGAGTGCTGAAGTGCAGTGGCACGCTCATAGCCACCGCAGCCGTGACCTGCTGGGCTCAGGTGGTCCTTCCATCTCAGCCTTCCAAGTAGCAGAAACCACAGGCGTCTGCCACCATGCCCGGCTAATTTTTAAATTTATTTTAAAGATGAGGTCTCGCCAAGTTGCCCAGGCTGGTTGAACTCCTGGGCTCAGGCAATTCTCTCACCTCGGCCTCCCAAAGTGCTGAGATTATAGGCATGAGCCACTGTGCTCTGCCAATGCTTCTGGATTTTAAGGAACTCTCAAGGATCTCTTTGGAGGCTTACCAAGGACATCTAGCTGCACAGTAAAAGTGGCTTCTCCTGCTCTGTTCTTGGCAACACATACATACGCCCCTGCATCTGACGCTCTGATCACCTCAAAGATGAGTGAATGAAAACCCTTCTCAGACACTATCATTTTGTGCAAGTCATCTGGTTGAACTGGTCTTCCATTTAGAAACCATGACACATCAGGAGCTGGTAGTCCACTCACCTAAAAACAAAAGCACAAAGAGATGGCAGAATTTTAAAGTATAGCATCACTGGAACCCAAATGTCCACTTATGAATTTTAATAATTCCAGTATCTGAGTGGGTTTGTGATTGAAATGCAAAGCAATAGCTCAAAAAGGTACTTAAAATTTTTTTTTTGAGTTGGAGTCTCACTCTTGTTGCCTAGGTTGGAGTGCAGTGGCACACTCATGACTACCACAGCCTCTACCTGCCAGGCTCCAGCAATCCTTCTGCCTCAGCCTTCCAAGTAGCTGGAGGTATTTACAATTTTTTAAACAAGGCATTGGAAATTAAGATCCTTGAAATTAACATACTATTTTCAGACTGTTTTGAGCACATCTAGCTCTTTCACATGCAACTTCAGTCTCTTTATGATCTCTTAATTACTATATTTAGAACAATAATTATGTTATTTTGGTTTCCACAAGGAATGTGGAAGTCATATGTCTTTTCTGACTAATTGTGGCTACAAATAAAATTCCAGCAGCATTTATATCTGAGGCATGTAGAACTTGAGTAATTTTTCTAAAACAGTGTTCTTGAGCTATAGTTTGGTACATAAATAGCAGTTTGCTAGTTTTTTTTTTTTTTCTTTTTTTTCTTGGACCAGGCCTCATTCTGTCACCCAGACTGGAGTGCAGTGGCATAATCATGGCTCACCACAGCCTTGACCTCCTGAACTCAAGCAATTCTTCCACCTCATCCTCCTGAACAGCTGGGACTATAGGCATATGCTACTATGCCTGGCTAATTTTATATATTTTTTGTGGAGCGATGTTGCCCAGTCTAGTCTTGAAGCGATTCTTGCGCCTTGGCCTCCCAAAGTGCTAGGTATAGGTGTGAGCCACCATGCCCAGTCTGTCAAATGTTTTTATATAACCTTTTTTTTTTTTTTTTTTGAGTTGGAATCTCACTCTGTCACCCAGGCTGGAGTGCAGTGGCACACTCATGGCCACCCCAGCGTTGACATGCTGGGTTCTGGTGATCCTTCTGCCTCAGCCTTCCAAGTAGCCAGAATGACAGGTGTGCACTACCATGCCTGGCTAATTTTTTTGATTCATTGTAGAGACGAGGTCTCACCATGTTGCCCAGGCTGGTCTCGAACCCATGGGCTCAGGCAGTCGTCTCACCTTGGCCTGCAAAACTGCTGGGATTACAGGCTTGAGTCACTGCTCCTGGCCTATATAAGCTTTTACAATTAAATCCAGTGTTAAGCTTTTTTTTTTTTTGAGGTGGAGTCTCTTTCTGTCGCCCAGACTGGAGTGCAGTGGCATGCTCCCAGCCACTGCAGCCTCAGCCTGCTGGGCTCTGGTGATCCTTCCGCCTCAGCCTTTCAAGTAGCTAGAACTACAGGCGCACACTACTACGCCCAGCTAATTTTTGATCTATTGTAAAGATGAGGTCTTGCCAAGTTGCTGGGTGGTCTCGAACCCGTGAGTTCGGCCTCCCAAAGTACTGGGATTACAGGCTGAGCCACCGAGCCCAGCCTAGTGTTAAGCTTTAACAATAACTTTTATTTATAAGGAATCTGGAAAAATGTTTTACAAGAAAAAGTTATTCAAAATGAATGTAACACAAATGGCTCTTCTAAACAGCTTTTCTAGCTTGAGGAACTCTTCTAGGCCAAGAGAAAGCAGGATGGCTTGAATTTCTTCTTGGAGAAGAGGCTTTTACTTTAGAAATCCTATTCTAATTGCTTCACTTGTATAATCTATTAGGTCTACCTATTTATTTACTTAATCTTCATAACTTTGTGAAGTAAGCATATTTGCTATTCTCATTTTACAGATGAGGAGACAAAAGCACAGAGAAGTTAAGTGACTTGTCTAAGGTTACAGCTGGAAAGTGGTAGAGCCAGATTCAAACCCAGCTCAGCTTGGTTTCAGAATTTGTGCTCTTATCCGTTTTGCATACTGCTTTTCAAGCTATGTAGCAAGCTATGAGTAGGAAAAGTTCATTTTTCAAAACTTAGTATCTCATTGTTAATTTCCCTACAGTACTTTTAGATTCTTCTCTTACTTTGAAGTCCATTCTGCAGAATCTTCCTTCTTCAATCGACATGTTCTCTGGCACTTGAATGAAACGTGGTGGATAAAATTTCTCCTGGATTGCATCCTGATCATTCACATCTCCCCTTGAGGATGATCTACTTCTACAAAATATTTTAATAACAACTATGCATAAGTGTTGTCATTGTTTTTCCTTTTACACAAATATACTTTTGACATCGAATTTGAAATACCAGAGTCTACTGTGTGATTTGATAGTGTAATAACAATGGAGAGAGGCCTTAAGGCTATAGCATGTTTGATAACTTCAACATAGTAGCAATTTAGAAACATCTGGTACAAATTGTACATCTTTGTCTCTCTTTTATAGTGCCATAAATTGGGGAAGAAACCGATCTATTAAAATGCAAAGTATCTGATAGATCGGGGGTCCCCAACCCGTGGGCCATGGACTGGTACCGCTCTGTGCTGCACAGCAGAAGGTGAGTGACAGAGAGCTAGCGAAGCTTCATCTGTATTTATAGCCACTCCCCATCGCTTGTATTACTGCCTAAGCCCCGCATTCCGTCAGATCAGTGGCGGCATTAGATTCTCATAGGAGCATGAACCCTACCGTGAACTGTACAAGTGAGGGATCTAGGTTGCGGCCTCTTATGAGAATCCAAAGTCTGATGATCTGAGATGGAGCTGAGGCAATGATGCTAGCACTGGGAAATGGCTGCAAATACAGATTAACATTAGCAGTGAGGTTTGACTGCACAGAGACCATAGTAAATCAGTTGCTTGCAGATTCATATCAGAACCCTATTAGTGAGTGGCAAGGGAGTTGATGTACATCTGGTGGCAAGTTTTAAGTTAGAACCTGACACTTATTTTAGTTCCTGCATGATTTGCTTATTATTTTATTTACAATTTCCACATGCCTTTTTAAAATAGTGAGTTTTATAATTATTTCATTATATATTACAATGCAATAATAATAGAAATAAAATGCATAATAAATGTTACGTGCTTGAATCACTCTGAAACCACCCCCACTTCGGTTCAGGGAAAAATTGCCTTCCACAAAACCAGTTCCTGATTGCAAAAAAATTGGGGACAACTGCCATATATCATTCAATAACCTGCAAAGATTGTGTAATTAGAATTGGATTTCCAAGTTGTTTAACACTAAAACATGGTCCTGGAAAAGTTGACCAAAACGTTAAAAAAAATTTCTTTGTGATAATTTTAATAATTAACATAAAATTTTGATCATTATCTTAGAGATTAGAAAATACACATTGAGCTGAGCGCAGTGGCCCACACCTGTAATACCAGTGCTTTGGGAGGCAGAGGCGAGAGGACTGCCTGAGCCCATGGGTTTGAGACCAGCCTGGGCAACTTGGTGAGACCTCATCTCTTAAATAAATAAATAAATAAATAAATAAATAAATAAGCAAGCCAGATGTGGTGGCATGTGCCTGTAGTTCCAGCTACTTGGAAGGCTGAGGTGGAAGGATCACCTGAACCCAGTAGGTCAAGGTTGTGGTAGCTGTGAGCGCGCCACTGCACTCTAGCCTGGGCGACAGAGTGAGACTCTAACTCAAAAAAAAAAAAAAAAAAAAAGAAAAAAGAAAATACACATTGTGTGTGTGTGTGTGTGTGTGTGTGTGTGTGTGTGTGTGTGTGTTGTACATATATATATTTATTTATATTTATATTTATCTATATCTATCTATATATATTGTTTTGAGTTAGAGTCTCACTTTGTCACCCAGACTGGAGTGCAGTGGCATGGTCACAGCTCATTGTAGTCTCAATCTTCTGGGATCAGGTGATCTTTTCGCCTCAGACTCCTGAGTAGCTGGGACTGCAGGCATGCGCCACCACACCTGGCTAATTTTTAAAAATATTATTGCAGAGATGCGGTCTCACTGTGTTGCCCAAGCTGGTCCTACCACTGTGGCCTCCCAGAGTGCTAAGATTACAGGTGTGAACCACTGCGCCCAGCCCACATTGTATTTTTGTGGATTTTTTTGTTTGTTTTTGAGTTGGAGTCTCACTCTGTCGTCCAGGCTGGAGTACAGTGGCATGCTTACTGCCACCCAAGTGTCAACCTGCTGGGCTCTGGCAATTCTTCCACCTCAGCCTTTCAAGTAGCCAGAACTACAGGTGTGCACTACCACACCCAGCTAATTTTTTGATTTATTGTAGAGATGAGGTCTTACCAATTTGCCCAGGCTGGTCTTGGACCCGTGGGCTCAGGCAATCCCCTCACCTTGGTCTCCCAAAGTGCTGGGATTACACCACGCCCGGCCCACATTGTATTTTTTAAAAGGCATATAGTAAGATTGAGGGCTTTATAAATATTATTATTATTTTTTGAGTTGGAGTCTCACTCTGGTGCCCAGGCTGGAGTTCAGTGGCTTGCTCTTGGCCATCACAGCCTCAACCTGCTGGGCTTAGGCGATCCTTCTGCCTCAGCCTTTGAAGTAGCTGGAACTACAGGCATACACCACCAACACCCAGCTAATTTTTTGATTTATTGTAGAGACAAGGTCTCACCATGTTGCCTAGTCTGGGCTCGAACTCGTGGGCTCAGGCAATCCACTTGCCTTGGCCTCCCAAAGTGCTGGGATTACAGACGTGAACCACTATGCCCAGCCCACACTGTATCTTTTAGAAGGTATATAGTAAGCTCAAGGACTTTATAAATTTTACACTTTTTTTTTTTTGAGTTGGAGTCTCACTCTGGCACCCAGACTGGAGTGCAGTGGCCGCTCCCCGCCACCGCAGCCTCGACCTGCTGGGCTCCGGCGATCCTTCTGCCTCAGCCTTCCAAGTAGCCGGAATTACAGGCATGCGCTACCACACCCGGCTGATTTTTTGATTTATTGTAGAGAGGAGGTCTCGCTGCTCAGGCGGGTCTCGAACCCGCGGGCTCAGGCAATCCACTCACCTCAGCCTCCCAAAGGCACGGGATTACAGGCTGATCCACCGAACCCGGCAATATTACACTTTTAAGTTGAAAATATCTTAGAGAGCAAACCATATATTTCTTTAAAAATAAATTTTTTTTTTTACCTTACTTGTGATGTAGGAACTTGCAGTCGTCCATGTTCTACATTGTGCTGCTTGAAATTAAAACAAAGTGAGAATTTAACATGTAATTGTTAGCTTCGAGTAGTTGTAGTTGAAAGGAGAATTTCTATTTTGGCTGTATTTGTACAGTCATGGAAAGTTGTATATTTCAGTTTTTAAGCATTTAAAATACAGTGTACTAACCTATTACTATTATGGCAAGAAATTCCCATAATTAATAGGGCTATTCAACTAACAAGTATTACTTATGAAAATAAGCTAATCTTGGATTTGACAGTGGTTCATTTTTCAGATGACTATTTTCTGACAAAGGATGATGTGTCCCTCTGGTATATTTGAAATGGGAGCACATAGTACAGACTGTCCTTTAGTAAAACAGGAATAGACATGAAGTCACTTGTGTTGGCAGTAGATGCAGGGTATTATGCCTGTTGCTCAAAAGTGGCACCAGTAGTAGTAAACACATTTTAGACTGGAAAATACTTCTCTTTTTAACTTGTGGCACAAATTGCTGATGGACACTGTGAAAGATATGTGTAGAGCCATGAAAAATCTTTCACAGTAGCGTTATTTCCTGTTCAATAAAGGGAAATTTAATTTAAGCAAACATCTTTTAGAATTTATAGCTGAGCACTAGGGAATTATTTCTGTTTGACAATAAAATCAGGAATTGAAAATTTTAATAATATTTAGTGTCTTGTGTATTTCACTATACTTAGCACAGTGGTTGATACAAAGAAGTGGATATACCTAGAGGAAAATAAATCAATATATAAAAAAGTTACCTGTACTTGTATGCTCATGCAGCACTATTTACAAAGGCAAAATCATGGAACCAACCCAAGTGCCCACCAACAATGGACTGGATAAAGAAAATTGGCATATATACACCATGGAATATTATGCAGCCATGAGAAAGAATGAAACCATTTCCTTTGCAGTGACATGGATGGAACTGAAGATCATCCCATTGAAAAAAAAGAAATAAAAAATATAATCTCTACCCAAATATCAGACATGCATGTGTGTAAGAACACAGAAAATCTGAGTACAAAAAAATTTATTGGCTGGGTTTGGTGGCTCAGCCTGTAATCCCAGCACTTTGGGAAGCCGAGGCAAGTGGATTACATGAGCTGGCGAGTTTGAGACCAGCCCAGAGAACGTGGCAAGACTTTGTCTCTACAATAAATCAAAAATTAGCCGGGTGTGGTAGCACACGCCTGTAGTTCTGGCTACTTGGAAGGCTGCGGTGGAAGGATCGCTGGAGCCCAGCAGGTTGATGCTGGGGTGACTGTGAGCGTGCCACTGCACTCCAGCCTGGGCTATGAAGTGAGAATCTGACTCAAAAAAAAAATTATTTTGGGACAAGCCTATGTAGCTAACGTATTTTGTCATTTTAAAGCAAATAACTTACAACTCCAGCAATCTTGGGCTTGCCTTCAGATTCTCCAAGCAAAATACCAATAACTGGTTAATTCAGTGATCAAACAAATATGCTAATTTTTTTGTAAAATAAAATACAATTAAATTCAAAATATCCAAATTAAGTTTTTGACTTTTTTATAGTGGTAGTTAGAACATGTATATAGTTATATTCAGAGATGTGGTGTTTGTTATACCATAGTTTGATGGTAATGCATATTATTTGTATATAATCTTTGAAGTGTATAAAAAAGTAAGATCCATCTTTTCTGATTTCATACTAATATGTTTCTGCTGCTGTCTTTTTCCCTAGTACTGTTGCCTTCATTTTGAACACTTTAAAGAATGAATGAGAAACACAGTACATCCTTGCCCTTGGAATCATATACGGTGCATTTATAAGATGAACCATCATCAGTATAAAATTGTTTTGAGTAATTTCCACTAATAGAGATGGGCTTATGTCTCATTCCTGCCGTAACCAAGTTCACAACCCAACACACAGTAAATTCTCCGTGTATATTAGTCGAATGAATAAATTAATGAGCTGTTTTAGTGGCCAAACAGAAATTTAAATTCTGTTTTTAGTTTCTAGTTCTTGCTCTGTTAGACTCTGCTTCATCCTTTTTGTAAGTCTAGTCATATTGATAAGAAACAAAAAGCTTATTTTCAGTTTCTCCACTTGGAAGCTAGCAATTCTTGAGTTCCCAGTTTCATCCCTTTGGCTCCCAGTTTCTCGTAGACATTTTGGGAGAGAATGAGAGGTAACTATGGAAGGAAGACTAATAACACTTCAGTCTGTCTCTCCAAATGTACATTTCTCTTCAGGGGTAAGTTTACTTGTTAAAATCAGATTGCGCAGGCACAATGCCTGTGGGATAGTCACTTTATGTCCTCCATAAAGTTAATCCCTTCTTGGAAAGGATGCGTTTGTTAATCTTAGAACCATTACTCATAGGGTTTTTTTTTTTTTTTAAGTAAGCCTTTTTGAATACAAGAACATGATGAAAGGAATTGAATGTTTTGTTAGTGCCACAAGTATATCTTAAAACATTAAAATGTTAAATAACTAATGAGAAAGGTTATAATTACTTTTGTTTAGTGTTTTAACTTCTGTCATATAAAAAATTCACAACTCATATGTTCTCTGACCTTGTAGACATTATAGAAAGAGTCCTATGTCTAACTGACCACTTAGTGTCCAGATAAAAAGTGATACCAAAAACCTCTGGTGTTTTGACTTTGTGACATTTTGTATCTAGATGTTAGAACTACCAAAAATGGGGGTTAAAAAAAAAATATGCCTATCATGGCCTCCTTATATATCCAATGTAGAACAGAAATGATTGACTGTTATTTTAAATGCTATTTATAAGCATTTAGAAAGGCATACATGTAAAAATCACACAGAATAAAAGTGCTCCAGTTACATAATGATTATTTTAATTTACCTGTGGTGAATCTTGTGCATCGCTGTCATTTTGAGCTTGAAAAACGGCAGCTGCATTCTGTGGTCCTAGCAATCTGCGTGCCATCTTCTCTTCATATGTCAGTCGCTTTAAAGAAGTTGTTAGGGAATAGTAATGAGATTTAATAAAAAAGGTTTGTACAGATTTACTTTAAAACTACTACTCCAAGTTAGAATTTCAAAGAAGTATAGTTCTAGCTATTGAATTATAGATTCTATATTTTTAAAAAAGTCTTTTTCTTCCATCAGAAGCATTTTCCTTCCATTCTAGTGCCACTTCCCTCACTTATGGTAAAGATTCACTTAGGCTTTCTTTTTGCCCCTTTCACAGGCAGGCACAATCACCTTTAAATAAGATTCTCCCAAGTAAAGGGACATTCTTCCCCTTCCTTCTTGTTCTGCATATTTCAATCTGCTTCATTTTTGAACATAGTACTACATGTTCTCACATTCAGAAATAACTTTTCTTAAATAAACATTGAATATTTTATTAAACCCTGAATATTTAATTAAATTCATTTGTATTAAAGATCCATAGTACTGTTTCAAAGATAAGTGACTAATATGATTCACAAAATAAGAGCCATGTAATAAGATTTACAGCTATAATTATTTGTCCAACAATATTATACACCAAAGTATATAAGGAAGTTGGTTGACGGTATTTCCCATTAGTTATTTGACTGTCAGGCATATTTTATGAGAAGATGATGCTTAAAACAGGAAATTTTCATTAAATCATTGAGATAAATTTTTCATTTGTTTCATTCTACTAGATTATACTTTTGCAAACGAAGAAGTGATTTCATGCAGAGAGATATAGACTAGGACTCAAATATTTCTTTTTAGATAATCCTATTCCTTGCTGGTTATACGGACATTGGTCTGTGAAGTAGAAATAACTTTCTTATTGAAATTAGATATTATAGTTTAATTGGCCTTTTGTAAAAAATAGACTTCTTGCCCACTTGATTTCCATTATGAAGGAGGGTGTCCTTGCATTTCAGCTTTCTCTCCAAATCTTGAATCAAAGCTTCTTTTGATCCTTGTATTTCATGATCAGGAGTCCTTGGTGTGGGCTTAGCATTTGCAGTTTGGGATGGCTTCGCATTTACAGATTGACCAGCTGAGAATTGTTGATAGCTTTACAAAGGAAAAAGAAAATATTTTTTGAAAAGTCTTTAAAGTAAGATGTGGTATCTAAAACAGAATTGGCCTCATTTTGTAAGTCGCCTTTAGATATGTTGAGTTTAACACTTAGTACTACTAGTATTATTGAAAATACCATTGCCCTAATAACAAGAATGATTTGATAAGAATGGTTAGCACCTTTTCTCTTGGCAAATGAAAATTAAGTGGCAGGAGGAAGGATTTAGATTGGGCATAAGAAGGATGTTCTTCCTTGAAGCTCTTCCCTAAAGAATGTGAGAGTAAGTTTAGTTAATGGCAGTTTGAGAGGTCTTCCAATCTTATGACTGAATTTCTTAAGTTTGAGTTATGGGTAGATACTAAACAGTGGTGTGCTGAAGCTGGTTCATATGGGCTCCAAGAGAGCTGATTTTTAGCATCTCTTCCCAGCTATCTGTGATTTCATGTTGTAGTAGTATGAAATTGGTGGTGGTGGAAGTATTTACACCAGGGAAGTAGGGAAATATCACAAATCATGACTCTCTTCTCCAGAGCTGATTGTTAGACATTTTATCAGCACACCACTGGTATTTAGTGAATATTCTATTGCTTTTAATGAAGTCTACAGATCACACAGTCTCTGGCTTTCCTATAATTTCCAATTTCTATTAATTTCATATTCTAGAATATCCAAGTATACAAGTCACTTCTAAAATAATAACCATTTCTTCAACAATGCTGAAGTGATTTTTTACAGAGCAAAAGGGATGATTAGAGGAAAAAGGAAAAATATATCTAAAATGAAAAAAAAAAATTTGAATTGCAATTGAAGGGATTGGTCAAAGTCTTTATTTCAAGTTCTATTCCTAAATTTTCTTCTAGGGTGTCCTTGCCCTTGGCATAGTTCCCCTATTGGTTCTGAAAGAGAATGGGGCAGTATTTAGGGAGTCCTGTGTTTTTAGATCTGTTAGGTAGTTCACACTTATCACAGTGCTTTGTTCAGTTTTACTTAGTTTGCCTATTTAGGACCCTTTATTCATCTACTTAATGTGAGAAAATTGCCACTGCCTTCAATGAATATTTTGCCATTACCATAATAAACATTATTCAGCTATCCAGATGAGACAACCTTGGTCTGTCCTCTAACATGATTCTGTTCAAATATTCTCAAGGATCATTAAAAGGATTTGTGAGCTAAGTGGAAATGTATTTCTTCTGAGTGGGACCTGAGTTTTTATTTTTGTTGGCTTTGGGAACTTGGTCAGGTAATCACTAGTTTGTAAACATTCTGAAGAAAAAAGATATTTTAGTTTCATTACTTATCATTGTATTTTTTACCTCCTCTAACCCAAAGCATGGGTATGGGAGATACTATCAGTTGAATGAATGAATTTTTTTTTTCTTTTGTTTTGTTTGTTTTTGAGTTGAAGTCCTATTCTGTCGCCCATACTGGAGTGCAGTGGCTTGCTCATGGGTCACTGCAGCCTTGACCTCCTGGGCTTAAGCAATGCTGCCTCAGCCTCCTGAGTTGCTGGGACTACAGGCACATTGCCACCATGCCTGGTTAATTTTTTGATTTTTTGTAGAAATAAGGTCTTGCTATGTTGCCTATGCTGGTCTCAAACTCCTGAACTCAAACAGTCCTCCTGCCTTGACCTCCCAAAGTGCTGGAATTACAAGCATGTGCCTTCTCGCCCGGTTGAATGTTTTCCATTGTATGCAGTATACTCTACTGAAAGTTGATGATACATATTTCCCCTCCTTATATTTCAGATCTTCAGATCTTCATGACTGTCTAGATTAATCCTTAACTAAAGTTTGATTTGTTCAGCTAAGTAAATAGCCAAAGTGTTTAAAAAGACAGTGAACTTTTTTTTCCTCCCCCCTTGGCCAAAGCAGCAAAATTCCTTTGGTTTTATAGATCTCATATTTCTCCAACTGTGTGAAATTATAATAGCCTACTGGTTTTTTAAAATGCTAGCTTATAATCTTTAAATAATTGTTTTCAGATGGTCATATCTGAGAAGTTCTAAATATATCTGAGAAACTCTGAAGAATTCTCAAAACCAAGCCTGAGAGTCACTGATGTATATAGCTTCAGACACTTTATTCACTGAATATCCCCGTCATTCCCAGTTTAGATGGCTCTATTGTTTGGACTTGATAACTGCTCCTATTTACAAACTAAATGCTATACTTGCACACTGCTTTGTAGGTCTTCCTCCCCGCCTCTGCCCCACCCCATCGTTGATTATCTAGATTCTTAATATTGTTACAGACTGGAAAACGGAATCATTGAGTCAGGTAAGGTACTTGCTGAATGTCATATAGCAAGCTTTTTGGAATGAATAATTATAATTAGAGATCAACTGAATAAAATGTTTGCTTAAGGGTAAACTACTGATGAAAAGCTAAATAAAGCTTTCAAATCTCTTTAGGTCAGGATCCAAGGGCTTATTTTGAAAAACAGGGTGAACTGGAGCCCACCATAACAATGAGGGAGTTGTGTACAAATGTTCAAAGGGCCAGGGCTTTCCACCCTGTGCAGCTGGGCACGAAATGAGTATCAAGTAGCTGTGGAAAGATTAAAAGAGTTATCTGTAGTTGCTGAAAATGGAACAGCTAAAACTGAATCTTTGATCTCTGGTTTGGGGACCTCCTAAGTTTTATTTCTTATTCTCTCTCTCTCTTTTTTTTTTTTTTAAACTTTCTTCCTCTTTGTTTGATAGGTCATTGTTTGATAGTTTTCTTTTCTGGGCAGGAATTTGGAATGGGATTGAAAGACTTTACTAAGAAACATATTATAGTCAGAAAAAGTTATTTTAGATTTTGAAATGCTCATGTAGGGAATTTGAAGATAATAGAAAGCCAGGTGGAAAATGACCACCTGGGTAAATGTAACCAAGAAGGATCTACAATGTATATTTTGAGTATAAGGGGAATTTGAGAGAGAAGAGAGAGAGAAGGATCTCAGATCTTGAAGGCATCCTTTTAAAATATTATTTCAAACCTATGAGAATGCCATTTTTGTAGGTAAAAAAACAGTTTAATATCAGCCATTTCAAATGGTTCGACCTCATACATATGGGATTCTAACATACATATGGGTTTTCCTGGTTTTTAAAATATTGAAAAGTATTCAGTTCAAGTTTTTTAAAAAGCATAACCACTATGTCCTTTTTCATATCAGGTTTTCTTAGGAGAGTCTTAGGGCTGTTGAAACAGTACATGCTTGTACAGTATTGTTCCCTATATTTAGATCAGTCCAGCAAATTTGAACTAGGTATGGTTTTAATTACCAAAGGAAGCCTTAATACTCAGATGCCTTCATCAAGCCTTCCTTCTTCTGATCATAGTAAGGAAAATTCATACATTTGTGTGTCTGAGTCCCAGGTTTTTGAAATTTGTTAATTAAAATACTTTTTTAAAACCAAGTGGATATTCAGGATTAGAGAGGGAAATGAACAGGAAGAAAAGACTGAAGAGAAACTTAATAGCCTCTGCTTATGGGAGAGGAAATCCTATCTGAGGAAGAGCAGACAGGTGTTATCTCAGCTGAGTCCAGAACCAGAGGAATTAAATTTACAACATGAGGAGCTTAGCTTAGAACTGGGGGGAAAGTTCATTGTTCTTGGGATGTTGGAAATGTATTTTTTTTCAGAAATGAAAATAATGGGTAAGTGCTTGTATCAGATAATAGGTAATTTGGATTCGGCTCAGCCTGACACTGGAGAATGGGTCAGATGACCTCTCACTGCCAGTACCCTGGTTCAGTGTGTTGTAGAACTGTGGAATAAGATCATACGGTCACATTACCTTTATAGATAGTAATAAATGAACTGCAACATACTCCCCAAACTCCTCAGACATAAGCTTACCTTATATGCGGTATGTAAAAATTCACTTACTTGGAGTCCATAGTAGAAGGGATTTTGTTGCTGCTGTAATCAGGCTGTGATGGTAAGATAGAGCTGAGGAAGCTGGCTGGGGACTGGTTATAGGTGGCAGTAACCCTTTGGCCTGGGTTGGAGCTGGCAAGCTGCTGAGGAGAAGCAGGGAGAGTAGAGGAGGACATGGTGATGTGAGAGCTCACTGTTGAGGAGGAAGAAAATCTTTGCTCTGTGCACTGGCGGGGCTGGATGGTAATGGAAGACTGTTTGGTCTGGCTAGAGAAGCTGGAGTTTTCCGGTCCAGGAGGCTGCAGTCTGGAGCCACATGGGTTTTGGGACTGGATGAAGTGTCTTGGACGTTCGTAGTTAAACATGCTTAGCTGGTTTATGGACGATGAAGGCAAGTTATAGCTGTAATGATTTGTTCCTGGAAGGGTGCTATCCTGAATTTGGGGCTGCAAGCCTGGAATTATGGAAGGTTGCAAGGAATCAGAAGCAACCTTGGTCTGTTCCTCCTTGTTGGGATCCTGAGAATACTGTGCTCCTGGCTTTGGTGGAGTGGGCTTCTCTTGAAGAATATTGTTCCTTCAAAAGGAAAAATAATTAAGTTACAGTATTTGCTTAAATAACAGTACTGTTTGACCTCTTTAGGATCTTGTGGGTACATTTTTTTTTTTTTTTAGCTTTTGTGCTTTTAAGATCTCTTCCATGTAAAACTTTCCTGGCTTCTAGATTTCCCTTTCTTTTATCTATTTTTGTACAAATAACTTTTCTTTTGAGAATAAGAAAAAGGATCCACTGGTGTGAGTTTGCCCTTGGGGGAAAGCATGCTCAGGGGCTTTAAGATGTAGAAGCACAGAGTTGTATTTTCCAAGTAGTTGCTTATGGAAATAAATTCTGTGATGATGTTCAGTGTGATAATTTTATGCTCTTATAATTAGCTTTTGTCCAAAGCCTGCAGTTTCATTAACCACAGAGGTTTGATGATTTAAAACAATGGCAGTTAAGCCAGGCTGCAGTGGCCCACACCTGTAATCCGAGCACTTTGGGAAGCTGAAGTTGGAAGATCGCTTGACCTCAGAGTTCAAGACCAGCCTCAGCAACAAAGTGAAACCCCCATCTTTATGAAAAATAGAAACAAAATGAACCAGGTGTGATGGCACATGCCTGTAGTCCCAGTTACTTGGGACACTGAGGCAGAAAGATAATTTGAACCCAGGAGTTTGAGGCCTGGTGAGCCGTGATTGTGCCACTGCAGTTTGAATGCCTGGGTGACAGAGCAAGACTCTATCTCAAAAACAAACAAACAAACAAACAAACAAACCCAAACAAAAAAAAATAGCAGTTAAATAAATAAATGCCAGTTTTCATTCAGTCTGAATTCTTCCCATTGCTCATTAAAACATATTAACACGACTCAGCCTGTAATCCCAGCACTTTGGGAGGCCAAGGCAAGTGGATTGCCTGAGCTTGTGGGTTCGAGACCAGCCCGGGGAACTTGGTGAGACCTTGTCTCTACAATATATTAAAAAAAAATTAGCTGGGCGTGGTACCCGCGCCTGTAGTTCCGGCTACTTGGAAAGCTGAGGTGGAAGGATTGCTGGACCTAGCAGGTCAGCCCTGGGGTGGCTGTGAGCATGCCACTGCACTCCAGCCTGGGCAACGCAGTGAGACTCCAACTCAAAACAAAAACAAAAACATATTAAAAGCCCTTCTGATATACCAATTAATTCATATCCTGATGGTCGCTGATGAATAACATCTTGGTAGACCAAGGAAAGCAATATGCTTCTTTTTATTCAGTCTAGTGCACAATTGGATCTAGAGTCTGGTTTCTAATATAGATATTACTTTTTTTTTTTTTTTGAGTTGGAGTCTCACTCTGTCGCCCAGACTGAAGTGCAGTGGCCGCTCCCGGCCACCGCAGCCTCAACCTGCTGGGCTCCGGCGATCCTTCCACCTCAGCCTTCCGAGTAGCCGGAATTACAGGCGCGCGCTACCACGCCCGGCTGATTTTTTGATTTATTGTAGAGATGAGGTCTCGCCGCCCAGGCGGGTCTCGAACCCGCGGACTCAGGCAATCCACTCACCTCAGCCTCCCAAAGGCATGGGATTACAGGCTGAGCCACCGAGCCCGGCTAATATAGACATTACTTTAATGTCTATATTTCTCCTTCACCCTTTCTTAGTTTCTCAAAGTAGTGTGAACATCTATAATTCATTGTTGTCAACTTTGAGTGGATTTTTTAACCTTAAAATTCACTGCCTTTTTTCTCCCTTTGCTTCCAAATTGGCTATAGTACCAAACGGGATGTTAATTAAGGAGTGGCTGCTCTGTGTGTGTGTGTGTGTGTGTGTGTGTGTGATGTATGTTTCAGACTGCATTCCAGAGTCACTTGTAAATTTTTTCTGTTTTTTATTCTTTATTTTTAAACAGAGTCATCGCTTATAATTCTGTTATTTTTAGATTGTACTTTCTAGTTATTGGTCCAAAATTCTCTTAATTATTTAGTTTTCTTTTTATTATTTTTACTTATTAGGATGTATTTTAGACTAATTTTGAAATTGTTTTAGCACTTCTTTTTCTTTTCAAATGGCAAACAGGAAATAAATAAGATACTTATGAAATTAAGTCTCTGCCTCATCAAGGAAAGGCGGTTGTCATTTCTCTTACTTGGCTCTAGAGTGGCTCTCTTGCCTTCCTACACTAGATTCCCTTTTTTCCTTAGATAAAACATTTGCCACTAAAATCAACTTTGAAGGATTATATTTGCCTCTGATGTTTCTCCCATCAGTGTGGTAAAGTGGGACTATATATAGACATTACACACAACGACTAGCTCTATAAATTGTTGTAAAGCCAATGCTGTATTTATTCAAAATATCAGATAATTTAATTAAAAACACATTTACATAGTTTGTTTTGCATAATATAGACCAATACTGAGATAGCAACAGATCAAACTTTTAACTGAAAAACCAACCAAATTGTTTATCATCATTGAAACAAAACCTTGTAATTATTTTACTTACTATCTTGAAGAAAATATTGTTAATGGAACTTTTCCAGACCAAACAACTTCATCTTAAGGTTGTGTATGTAGTTCAGAGTTAAATTAAAACTAACAGTTTTAGGAAAGAACAATGCAACTAAACAGTCAAGAGAAAGAAAAAAGTACTTAAAAAGTTATTTATGCCTTAATTTCAAGTTTATGAACATGAATACATTCACCCAGAATACATTTTAGAAATGGACTACATTAGGCATTTAGATTGTTGGGGAAAAACATCCATAAGGAGGGCTTTAATTAGATCTACTAAAAAAAAGAGAGAGAGAGAGAGTCTATTTCAAGGCAAGTAGTTTTGTATTTATGGGTTTATTCAGTCTAGTGCGCAATTGGATCTGGAGTCTGGTTTCTAAATTCCTTTTTGGGCAGGGACATTATTCAGACTAATTTCAAATAGCAAGGAATAAACCGTTTAAGAAATGGCCAATAGATATTTTCCAAAAAGTGTTCTTTTATTTATATATATTTTCAGAATTTCAACTGTCTTGTACATTTTGGTTTTGGCCTACATAATTAATAGTTACTGATATTTTTAAAGCTCCATTAAAAATATGTTCTCTCAAAAGTTTCTTTGTATCAGTGTCTCAAAATTGATGTTTACACGGTAATTCTATACATCTTTTCTTCATGTTTGTATTTACTGTTCAACAATTCAATTTTACTGTAGATTCTATTACATGACAGTATCATTTTATTCCAAATAATTTTAAATTAATTTCAAAGATTTTATAAATAAAATACTATCCAGTCTCCCATTAAAAAAAATCTTACCATTTCCCCCATCTCTAATATGGCACAGACTTGCCCAAAAGATGACAGAGGATATCTTGAGGCCATAGGACAGCACACAATTACAGTCAGAGCAAGTATCCCTTTTCAGGGAAAAATATTGATTTTAAAATAATTATATACAACTATCTTTTCCTCTATCCTTTGTATAAAGCCTTCCAGTCTCTATGGAATGAATGGGTCACTTTCTCTTGAAATCTTTGTATAATATCACTATGATGTTATGCCTTTCAAACTTTTTATCTGTAGATCATCTTTGTACACATTCATCTGATATGGACAAAAAACAAAACCCCAAAGTATAGCAAGAATAAAGAAGGGACTTACCCGTAGTTCCAGAGGGTGCCAGCTGGGTTTAACCCACTATTGAAGGGAAGGAAGAGGCATCTCCTTTCCTCCAGACTAATCTAGTGGCTCTGTGCTTAGTATTATAGCACTACTGACTTTTATCAGCTGCCAAACAGTGACATCTGATGTGCTTGCCTGTCCATCTACCTATGCTGGCATGTCAAAGTAAGAGTCCACAACCTAAACAATATCTCAGATGTCTTAGTGATATTTAAGGAGTGGGATTACATGAGCTTCTCTTGCAGGCCTCTTTATTTCAGACGTGAGTTTTGACTATGAACTTTGACAAGCTCTTGTGGGGAAAGAGTGGTGAACAGGAAAAATATGAAGAGAACTATTTCTTTACTATGATGGAGGCTTTGAATCTTCCCTGTTTAAGAGATAAGGAGTAAAAGGAAAATAGTATTTCAAGACTGGAGTTATTCTATTTAGTAAGACTTCTCCAGCAATAAGCCCAGTGATGGGTGGGCACCAAATTGAGTCTGCATTGCATAATTCTTCATCAGAAGTCTTTTTCTTTTGCTTAGTGAAAGTGGAGATGGAGTAGAATTCCAACAATATTTTGGGGGGTGGGGTGGGGTGGGGGAGTAGTCTGCACAAAGGCAGGAGAGCAGGGTCATGGTGGTATGTCACTGGGAACATAGGGAGGTGGAAAAACATGATTGTGCTTTTGGTTTTTTTTTGAGACAGCGTCTCACCCTATCGCCCAGGTTGGAGTACAGTAGTGGGATCATGGCTCACTGCAGCCTCAACTTTCAGGACTCAAGTGTTCCTGCTGTCTTAGCTTCCTCAGTAGCTGGGGCTATAGGTGTGCATCATCACACCTGGCTAATTTTTTTAAAACTGCTTCTTTAGCAAGTTTTCTGACTCTGTATGGCATATACCCCTTTCACCTAGTACTTTTATTCTAAAAGAGTTTTGAAACACTTAAACAAATAAGCAGTCTATATAATTAGGGCTGCCAATGCACTTTCTTTCATCTCCCTTTACTCCTAACAATTTTACAATTTCTTTTCTCTTTTCACCATGGAGACCATGGTATTAGGCTTCCATTTTTGTGCAGGGAAGAAAATAATTATAGAAGAAGAAAAATTGAAATCAACAAAGGTGGTGGAGTAAGATATGTGGCATGAAGATCAGGCCAATCAAGTAGAATTCTCTCCATTGAGTGGCTTCAAACCTTTCCTTACTCTTTCCTTCAGTTTCCCTTCCTCTTGAGTAGGTATCCCAATCTTGATTTCATTACCATGTACATTAGGGTCCAACATATAAATGTTTGAACACATATAAGCCATGTAAAATTCTTCACAGCCACACCACATGGGTGTACCTTTCTTTGGTGTTCAGAGAAAGTTTAATAATTGCTGCTTGGTCATGTAGCCACTACTTAGTAGAAAAAGTATGCTAGACTTGATGAGTAGGTGGTTTCCTCCAAAGTCTTATTTTAGGAATCTCCCAAATATTTCTCCACATCTGCTCACTGATATTTCAAATTCTATTAAGAGAGACAAAGTCTTTTAATTCAAATTAGAGTGACTTAAAAATACAAATACAAGTGACAAAAAATAATAATAGCCAATACACATACCATTTACTATGACTAAGATACTAATCATTTTAAGTGTGGTATATATGACTGATAATTGGTTCTGCCAGAGAGCAGGGTTTGAATAGGGCAAGGAAAAGGAGATACTAGATTTGAGGTTCTTAGTACAAAGTTTGAGGTATACCTCACTAGCCAAGTAGGGAAAATGTCCAGGACAAATTGCTAAATCCCCAATTTTGCCTAGGGCAGGTTCTAAATGTGCTACAGTTGAGGAAGGATTTTAGTTATACTTGCTCTTTGTCCGTCTAGCTTTGTCTCCTCTTTTCTTTAGGTCTTTGTAAGCTATGACCTGGATTATGTGTGATGCGTATGATGGCTTCCATGGTGCATCAAGGCTAAAGTTTGTGCAAGGGGATTGGGGGATGATTTAGGAAAAGCAAATATGTCCTTGTTGATCATACCATTATTGGTAGTTAAGGGTCTGTACTTAATAATGTATTATGAATCTGTTTTTTCCCCTGCATTTTAATGCTTGGTTTGCTTTATTGAACGGTGATTTGTGTTTTCTCACAAACGAGGCTATTTGAATGGTTTAGTTTCCTATTTGAGAAAAGTCATAGAATCGTAAAACTGGATGAGTTAATAAAATGCCAGAATTGGGCTCGGTGGCTCAGCCTGTAATCCCGCGCCTTTGGGAGGCTGAGGTGAGTGGATTGCCTGAGCCCGCAGGTTCGAGACCCACCTGGGCAGCGAGACCTCATCTCTACAATAAATAAAAAAATCAGCTGGGCGTGGTAGCACATGCCTGTAATTCCAGCTACTCGGAAGGCTGAGGCGGAAGGATCACCAGAGCCCAGCAGGTCGAGGCTGCGGTGGCCGGGAGCGGCTACTGCACTCCAGTCTGGGCGACAGAGTGAGACTCCAATTCAAAAATAAATAAATAAATAAATAAATAAAATGCCAGGCGTGTGAGCCTTATTCCAACCTGCTCAGAAAGACAACTTTTTCCATTTCTTTCTCTAAATTATCAGAAAGGGCCTCCAGTAAGTCATTCTGATGCCTCACAGACTGTGGTAACTTCCTACTACCTCACTGAAACCTTTCCTTTTACATCTTAAGGGAATTCCTTATCTATCATCAGTAGAGACAGGATAGCCGTTTAACTGTCATCCTTCTTCGTATACTGCTCTTGTTGTTTTTTAATATGTAAGTTATATATGTTATTGTAAAAATGGTGCTGTGAGTTTCCTCTAAAATCAGAGGTCAGATGTATATGATGCAGCTCATTTTTGTTGTATCAGCCGAGAAGAAAAATGTTACATTGAGGATGAAAGAACTCAAGAGTAAGGAAAGGTTTGTTTTTTCAGGTTATACATAATTTGCTATGGTTATTGAAGTTCTGCATAGACATACAGTGAAAGGAAAACCCACTATGATATTTATAACTTGAGGTATCCAGTCTATCATTTGACTCAATTTTATATTATTTTCAAGCAAGAAATAATAATAGACTCCGCGTGTTTGGAATTAAAGAATAAAAATGATATGTTAATTTGGCTAGTGCTCTACAACTTCCGAGACATATTAGCCTTTTTATGATCTGTTTTGGGGACCTAAGTGCTCACTCTACCACATATTTGCTGTGTAACCTTAGACAGGTTGCTTAAACTCTGAGCTTAAACAAATAATTGAAAATGAAAATAGTACCTGGTTTACCAACCTAAATCAGATGATACCGAGAGACTCAAATGAAATGGGAAATCATATAATGGACTATTATGTAGGTATAATGTATCACCTCAACTAGACTAAAATATTTCTGAGGGAGGGACTGTTTACTACTTATTTACCTTTCCTAGTATGATGTAGCTCATAGTAAACACTCAGTAAAATATTTGTTAACTTTTATCAAATTTTCAGCCAAGTATTTTCTCCACAGATAATTTTATTAATGAGGATGATAATCTCTTATGAAAGATACTGTCTTATAAGTTCAAGACCTTTTAACTCTCACTGTTAAACACAAGTACTTATGGAGAAAAGGTTTAGATGTCAGCATTGGCCATTTTCCCAAGGCAAGCCTCATACTGATAAACACATAGAATGTGTTTAATAGATGTTTGTCGAATATATTGCAGTCTTATATATTGTCCCATATACCCCATCTTCCTTAACCATATAAGGAATCTTTATAGGCGTATGTACTGCTCAGGCAACTAGAGATCCTGGAAGCCAAAAGGATACCAGGTGAACAACTGAGAAATCACGGTCAGAATATTATTGGAAATATACTGGTTCCCATAAAACAAAGACAAAGCTGTGATAGATTATTCAGTGAAGTAATAGCTATGAGTTATTGATTGCCTACTTTGTACTTCATATACGTTGTTTCAAGTTGGTGGGTGTCCAAATCTAAAGTCTTTTCTTGCAGTTTTCATTGCAAGAAATACTTAGAGGAGTACTTTTGCCATGATCATGGAAGCATGAGTAACTAGCCCTCCACAATATGAGCCAATTTTAGTCATTTGTAGAATGAGGAACTTCAAGTAGATGGCCTCTGATTTTTTCCATCTCTAATATGATATAGTTCTCTCATTTCAGTCTCTGTAAAAATCCTTAAATATGGATCTAAGCATAAGACTTACTATTTCAGCCATAGTGAAATGCATCAAGAAAGGACTGACAAAGTTAAAGTGATTCATCTCAGAATGCAAGCTTCCTGAGGGCAGGAACTCTGTCAGGATCTATCTACAGAACTAAAAGTATTTGTTGAATGAATGAATGTTAGGTCAGTCCGCCCTTACCATTGTTGTAGCTCAGAGGAATTTCCAATGATAGCACAGAAATCCTTCTTTGGAACCTGGATCTCATGTTCATTTTGAAAGGCTGGTTCAGGAACAATTGGCTTAAGATTTATGGGGGGATTGTCTGGATTTTTGTCCTTTGTGTAGCTTTCATTGCTCCGGGGAAAAGAGGCCAGTTTTGGAGAAAATTTGCTCATGGGTAACTTTGGAGAACTCTCTGATGTCACTACTTCTTCTCCCTCTGAAAAATATAATTAATCACCAGTTCAGATAGAAACAGAGAATCTTCCTCTTGGCTCTGGGCTGAATTGGAGCAAGGAGATTTTGAAGAGTAATTACCTGGGGAAACAAAGAGTTTTGCTGCAGAGGCTGCAATCCCAGCCTCATTTTCTGCGATGCATTTGAATTCCCCAGAGTCTTCAGGAAATGCTTCCGTGATAATCAAGGTACAGACTTCCTCTGGAAAGAGAAGAAATTCAACTTGTTTAGTGTATTTGAATGCCCCAAATTAACAAACATACAATGTGGTAGGATACTGGGGAGAGTAGGTACTAGGAACAAATAGACTATTACTGAGATTAAAAAAAAAATCTGATTAGATATTTTGTAGCATTTGACTCAATTTTATGTTGTCTTTTGAGTGACAACATTAAGGTAAATCTTAAAAATACAATCCCATTAATCAACTATACATTTCAAA